ATGTAATTACTTCATTCGTAAAATCCCTTAAATTTTAGATGAAAAGTCTATTTAATTATTACTAAATAATAAAATAGAAAATATAATAATTGGTCAATCAACCATCATCCATTATTTTAACTCTTTCTTTCATATTAAATAACATAAATGATTACCATTATTATCTTCATCTTTTATATTTCTCGTCCCTTTAACTCTCTCCATCCTTCATACTCTTCATATTTCCTACCAAACAGAACCCTGAATGTTAAACTAAAAAAAAGGGGCTACACACATTATAAACGATATTACACGGGCAAACGAATAAAATTCCAATTTTGGGATTGATTTGAATGCCGGACTTAAGGTAATTCCTATATATTACATGACATTGTTTATTCCTATATATTATATGACATTGTTTATTCCTATATATTATATGACAATGTTTATTTAATGTTTTCTTATTATTGGCTTATAAACGTGAGATTGTATCAAAATAACAAAAGGGATTTTAAAGTGTGTGGCCATTTCAAGCCCTTTTTTAGTAAATGGCCCTAGATTTGTTAAATTGGGAAAATAACAGTATTTAGATCATGGTTAATCATTGATTGATTGATTTGTGATTTATCACTGATTAATTTAATAGTTTATTGCTGATAGACCAATATCAATCGGTGATTAATTAATTCTATCAATAAATTTATAGGTCTACTTTTGATAAATTAGAAATAACCCAATGTATAACAGTGATTGACCACTGTAAAATCCAACAAAAAATGAGTATTTAACTAAAAACAAGTTTCATTGTTAATTAAAAGGGGTGGTCAAAACAGGTCATTCACCAATTTTAATAATTTTTAATAAATATATGAGTATAAATTTTGTGCGACTTAAAGAATATTTCTTAGTGTATAGTTAGGAGCATCATAAGTTACTATACTTGGGTGAAGCTCGAAACACCATCGTGGAAATTCGAATCTCCTTCCCTCTCTCTCCCTATGCTGTTGGTTCTTTGCTTCCTCATTGTTGCATCTTCATATCCTCATCATGGATTTTAAACTGCGACTCCTCCACGTAGCCGCATCTCCATGAGATCTTGCCATTGTTGTGAGATCTCCTTGTGCAAAGTAGCAACAACAAGATCATTAGCGACTGCGAGATCTTTTCAAGAATCATGGGTTTCGTTCACTTCGCAGATTTGACTTTTCAATTCGAGTTGAGATTTGACATTTTCTGAAAGTTTTTAACTGTAGCAGAAAAAGTTAGATGTGACATTTTCTGAGAGCTGTAGAAACCAAAAACTGAAAACTCGAATCGGTGAAATGAACGGGGTCTAAACTTCCCTTATTGTGTTACTGTTAGATCTCTGTCAGCGATTTCTTTTTATTAATATATTTTTTTTAAAAGTATTCTAATTACTATTTTATATTTGTTATAAGAATTATTATTTGTTTATTTTTTATAAAGGAATTAGGTTTTTTCTTTTTTGAGTAGAATTAGTTGTTTATTTGATCTTTAAGAATTTGTTAAAAGAAGAAGGTTATAAATTTAAGTTATTAAAATAATTAGTACATTAGATTAGACTACGAATGAGTTTGTGATTGTTTTTAAAACTCCTAAAACCACTTTGCAAATAAATGATGCAACTAGTATTTGGTAAAAGTACACAAAACTACTTTGCACAAAAATTAATACACTTTTTAAATTATTTTGAGAACTTAAAATTTGTAGGTTTTAGATTATATTTCTACTTCTGATTTTACTTTAAGTAAAAATAGCATTTTTATTGAAAGCACGACAAGCCAAACTGGACCATGTGGATCAATAATTGAACAAGTGGTTTACTTTCTGATCGTAATAGTAATACCAACAAGTTATTTACTAAAATTGACTACAAATGACGTTATATGAACTTTATAACACATTAAAGGGACTTACTAAAAAAATAGAAATTGGTAAAAACCAACCATATCTGCCTTCAAAAGTGGTACGAAGCTAATTTCCTTATCTATTTGGTGCGATGTTATGGAGCCCCTCGATATTCATAAGTATTTTTAACTACACAACTATAAGATTCTCCTCTTTCTAATTATGGATTTTTTTTTTTTTTTTTAAAAGATTTTTGTGATAACTAGCAAGATATCTCCATTGATAATGTTCGTACTCAACTACTGCACTACTATATAATTATAGGAAATGTCTTTCCAAGACGGTATGAGAAATTTAATATTTTTTATTCGTCATTGTAACATTGTTTGTACGTTTATGTACACTCATTTTGTTTAAGTATAACACTCAATAAAATGTATTCTACGATTATGTTAGTTTAAATTTGCTTCAGTATAACTATCTTACATCAAACAGTTATAGTCCATAAAAAAATGTCACACTTGTTGTACCGTATGACTGTCTGACTAAAAACCTTACTTATAATTATATCGTCACTAAATATTATAATTGAAAATTATTTTATTTATTATTAATGAAATATTACAAAATGCTTGTCCTTGAGAATTACTTATTATTGATAAAATAATTCTATATACCCTACTTAAAAAATATCCGTTCCTTCCCTAAAAAAAAAATATATATATATATATATATATCTTTTTTCTTTATTCTCCTTTTTTTTTTAAAAAGAAAAAAACTTTTATTTTTTCTGTTTTTGCAAGAGGGATATATCATGACAAAGAAGTTGAAAGCCACGTGGAGACCATGTGTCTATGTGTTAAATCGATTTTTAGTACTTGAGCTCTATCGCTCTTTGAAATTCCTTTTGGTCATTGATTAAGGAATTTAATTCCCTCCCTAATTGAGAGCAACGATACTGAAAAAGATGGTTAGCACTTTGTGACCCTTTTGCCTTGTAGGAAGGTGAATGAGAATATGTGATTTTTGGCTTTTAATGATTTTGTAGAAACTATTCTTGGCAATAAAAAAACAAATTAACAAAGAGGCATTAATCTCCACTTCCCTTTTCCCTTTTTCAATAGTTGCATATTACAAATTTCCATTCCACATTAATGCAAGCAAATTGAACTTCCAATACCATTTTATAAGTGTATTAGGAACTAGTCCAACTAAATTAAAAGTAGCTCGTCCAATATCCAAATCACACGCAAAATTTATAGCTGTAACCCATAAATATGGTTGACTTTTAATGGATATATTGATACTTCTCTTTTAAAAATGGAAATAAAAATTACAATTTTGGCTACTAAGTCTAAGTACTAACCATAAGGTGGAAATGTGTATTTTAAGACTTTCAAACTGCTTTGCAAAAGATAAGGTTTGTGCAAAAAAGTAAAGCCCCACAACATAGGCAACTTGACTTGGGTGGGTTCCCTTAGAAGTAGGGCATCATGGTGGACCATTATATTATTGGATGCCAATCCATCCAAATAAAGTAGTAATAATAAAGTTAGAGAAATTTCCGAAAATGCCATGGGGAGTATCAAACTACCACATCGTTGAACCATATTAAGGCAATTTTTGTGGATAATACTTCTATGTCATTACACAAGAAACATGCCTTGTGGTGCACCTTGTTGGATAAGAAATTCATTTTGTCTATGAATAAGACCACCCATTAGAAGCCAAGGACAAACCGTCATAGAAACCGTGGTCTCAATCTCCTTGTAATCTATCATAAGAACATCAAAAACAACACTAATCTTTCAGGTTTGAGGTCCCCTTTCTTGGGTTGCATTTCGTTTTAGTTCTTTTTACTCTAAGAAACAACAAAATTGAGGAAATAAGTAACGGAACAAGGGATATGGTTTTCAGTTAAAGAGAAAAGGCAACAGAAGTAGAAATGGAAAGAGCTTTTGGTGTTTTTCCTCTTGAACATTGATTGAATTGATATGCTGCCCCTTAAACTTTTAATTGTATCAAATTATCCCACAATTTAGTAAACATGTTGCAAAGTGTCTAAAACTCAATGAATAATATAGAACTTTATATAGAAAATCCCCTGTGCACATGGCATGGCATGGCATATTCTGTTCATCATCTAAAATTTTAGTCTTCCTTTAAATGAACTCACTTAACATACACAAGGGTGTTTTCATCTAAATTCTTATATTATCTATCAATTTGGGACACTTTCTAAATTCACAAAGTAATTTGTTAAAATTAAAAGTTTAAAAGATTACTTGCCAATTAAAAAGCAAATATACCAAATACCCTAAAATTTATAGCACAATCACAAATCTTAACAACGAATCAAAAATCAGAAGCTAGGTTAACAAAAATTTGAACCTTGTTCTTTCTTGATTGCGCCAGTACTCTTGACCCACTCTTAAGGCAATGTAATCAAACCACATCCATTCCAGTCATTGCCAAATGGCAAGAGGGAGGAAATGGGCCTCGGTCCTAGTGCCACGTGTCAGTGAAATTGCAATAACACACCCACATGCTGTCTTGGAAGAATCAAGTTCCATGTACGTAAGGAAACAAAAAGGAAGAACACCCAATTACTAGAATGTGTTGGAAGTGCAAGATTCATGAGACCAATGGGGGTCCTATATGTCTCTTTGGAAGGGGAAAAATCAGGTAAAAAACCATTAGAGATGTTGGCATCAGTTAAGGTGAGAGAGAGAGAGAGAGAGAGATGCACATGCTTTGGGGCATTACACATGCCAGGGGGTTTTTTTTTTTTTTAATTTTTTTTATTTACATCATGAAACTGTTAGAGAGAGAGAGAGAGAGAGAGAGAGAGAGAGAGAGAGAGAGAGAGAGATGCACATGCTTTGGGGCATTACACATGCCAGGGGCACAACATATGTTTGGGTTTTTTTAAATTTTTTTTTTTATTTACATCATGAAACTGTTTAGCATCAGAACTGAAACTTTGAGGATTGCATATCATACATGTACAATTAAATATAAAATACATAAAAGATAGAACAACTTAGCTACTAATAATCAAATAGAATATTCTAAATGTACTAAGAAAAGATCAAGAAGTCTTAGCAATCAATTAAATATAAATCTGATTGCCAGATATAAAGATTACACCAACGAAAGCCCTTTTGGAAGTAGACAAAATTATTCGTGCATTCTGCTGTCACCAAAATATAGCAACTTCGTTTAAATGGATGTCTACAGTTTATCTAACAAAAGTAAAAATAAGAAGAATGTCTTTTTACTTTTTGCTGGAAGAACTCATTGAACCTCGTCATATTAAAGAAGTTACATTGTACTATAAATTAAAATGTAGCGCAACGAAATGTGGCATAAGGTAATCTTTAAACTACAGTGGGGGGAGATTCTGAGGTTAACAAAGACATTATCAGCATCAATGGAATCGGACGTTGCAAATTCAGTGATGGCACAATTTCAATAGAAGGAGACACTATACAACAATTTTCGCCGATGTTGTTTTTCAAAAGCAGTCAAAATGTCGTCAATTGAATCCTCCCATGATTCAGTCGCTTCAATCTACGAGTAAAAATCAGCCAGTTCATAGTAATCAGTATGGTTAAAAAGAACAATTTGTAACTACTGTAAAGCATAGTAGGATACGGACCTCTTGACATAGTTCTAAAGCAAGCCTAGCTCCAACTGCTGCTTCCTCATGGTTGTCTTTCACCTCCAAGTTGATTATCAGCACACTTTTCATGAGTACATGTTCGCGGGTGTTAAGATCTAAAAGTTTATTCCATAGTGGTCAGATTTACAAAAATGACTTTGTAAGCAAAAGATGGTGATAATAATAAAAAGAAAAGACTCAAGAGAGTTCGTTAAATCTTTGGAGTAAACATTTTAAGTCACCATGTAAATAGGAATAATACTTCATGCCACTAGATAACTAGCTACCAGAAAAAATGGCTTTTAGAAATTGAAAATCCACAATCACATGCGCCATCTTCCCATCAGATGAGTGAAGTCAAAAAACCGCCAGTCACATTAAAAGCTAGTCAGTACAATCACAGCAGTCCTCGGCTCTTGATGCCGAATCATGCACACATCATAGACCTCTTATGCAGTTTATCTAGTCAGCTTTCACTACATCCTCTTCTTTTTCTGCTTCTTTTTTGAGGCATGATATTAGTCGAAGCCTAAAGTTACCAACTTAGATCTCTACTTTCAGGGACACCTTCAAAATTCAAAAGGAGTATCTTTCATATGCATCTAAAAGAACCATGACGTGTACCATACTATACTCTTACAAAGAGCTACAAGTACTGAGACGATTTCATTTCTTTCCACTTTACAGAACTCTCAATCTAATCCAAGGTCCTTACATCCAAAACTTTTGCATACTTGCCATGTGGACATTCCCACAACATAATTTTCCAGTTCGCATGACTTGCAAACCATTAAATCCAATATGATTATAAAGGTAAATAAGAGGAAAGAAACACAGAAACACTGCTGGGCTGCATTAATTCCTTCTCATTAAAACAACGTAGAAAACATACATAGGTTACAACATATTTATAGCCTGGCTTACCACTAACTTAGGAACATCAACTAACTATCCACAAAATCAGGGAATACGTTAACTATAGATCTAGGTTACATATTGTGGAAATAAGGAAACGTGTTAGGAAGATTAAGTTAGGAGATTTAGTTAGTTAGTTTCCTTATTTAGAAAAGATTAGATTTTATTTAATTGTAGTCTTACCGATTAGGAGATTGTAATATAGGGTGGTTATTATTTTATTTAGAATTCCTGATTTGTAGGAATTCAGTTTCCTATTTTGATGGTCTGGTATGCCAGCCCTTAGCCTCTATATTAGGATGTAAATTATTGCTTCAATTCAAGAAGAAAAATTCACGATTTCTTCATGGTATTAGAGCCCTAGCTCTCTCTGAACCCTAGCTCCTCTTCGTGTGTCCTCTTCTTCATTCTTCTGGCCGACTCTTTTCCATGACCAAATACGGCATGGCGTTTCAATCAACTTCCTCGGAAGTGACTTCCTCAGGAGTGACTACCAGAACCGAGCCCACTCCTGCAGCTTCCACCATTCCCGAATCTTCTTCTCATCTCGTTACCAATCACAAACTGAATGGCCAAAATTTTATGCAATGGTCTCAGTCTGTGTTAATGTTTGTGTGCGACAGAGGCAAGGATGGACATCTCATTGGTGAAGCTGCTGCTCCAGAGGCCACGGATCCAAAATTTCGTTCATGGAAGATTGATGATCATCTTGTAATGTCATGGTTAATAAACTCTATGACCACTGAAGTTGGAGAGAATTTTCTGCTTCACATGACAGCCAAGGAAATATGGGAGGCTGCCCTTGAGACTTATTCCAGCACAGAGAATACCTCAGAGCTGTTTGAGGTTGAAACATGGCTCTACAATCTGAAACAGGGAGACATGAGTGTGACACAATACTTCAACATGCTTACTTGTTGTTGGTTGCAGTTGGATCTGTATGAGACCTATTCGTGGAAGTGCTGATGATTCATCAATTTATCGGCAGATTGTTGAACAAAAACGGACTATAAGGTTTCTTCTTGGCCTGAACAAAGACCTAGATGAAGTCAGGGGAAGAGTTATGGGAATTAAACCCTTCCCCACCATTTGGGAAGCATTTGCAGAGGTCCGAAGGGAGGAAAGCAGGAAGAAGTTGATGCTGCCCGAACCCAACATCGCCCCTGCAGTAGAAGGATCAGCTTCATATACTCACGGTTCTTCACAGAACAATAGGGCTGGAAAGGGTCGTCCATGGTGTGATCATTGCAGGAAACCTGGACATGTGAAGGCAACCTATTGGAAGATACACGGAAAACCTGTGGATTGGAAGCCCTTCAATCGCCAGGACAGAGAATCCCGTGCCAATGCTGTTGCTTCCACAGAAACCGGTGCAGAAAATAGTCCGTTTACAAGGGAGCAAATTGAGGCACTGCAGAAGATGTTCAGTCAGTCTCCGAGTTCCAACCAATCACCTTCATCTAATGTCGAACATCATACTAGCCTCCTAGCACATCAAGGTACACTATCCCTTGCTTTTAGTGTTCAAAATAACCAACCAAAACCATGGATAGTTGATTCGGGAGCCTCAGACCATATGACTGGAGATTTCAGTATTCTAATGGATTTTCAGCCTTCCTCTAATCACTCGGGAGTCAGAATTGCAGATGGCACAATTTCCCCTGTTGCAAGAACCAGATCTGTTCGTATAATAGAAGACTTACAACTTTTATCTGTTCTTTATGTTCCAAAGTTGAACTGCAATTTACTTTCTATCAGTCAAATCACTCGGGATCTCAAGTGTCTCACTAAATTTCATTCTAATTCTTGTGTTTTTCAGGCAGTGGATTCGGGGAAGATGATTGGCAGTGCTGATATGCATGGAAGACTTTACTTGCTCAAACAAAAGGGCCTCCAGAGTAGACAAGTTCATCAATCAAGTTGTGTCTTCGAGTCTGTCAAATTTGTTTCTAGTTCTGTGTCTGTTTCCAATTCTAATTATGTCCCAGCTGAGAGTCAAGTCATGTTGTGGCATTATCGCCTTAGTCATCCGAATTTTGCTTCTATTGAAAAATTATTCCCTCATTTGTTTATCAATAAAAAATTCAGTTCTTATCAATGTGAAATTTGTCAATTAGCAAAGCATACCCGACACGTATACTCAAGTCTTCAATACAAACCATCACATCCTTTTTCAGTAATCCATAGTGATATTTGGGGACCATCACGAGTGAAAAATATCAATGGGGCTAGGTGGTTTGTCACATTTATTGATAATCACACAAGAACCACTTGGACCTTTCTCATGAAAGAAAAATCTGAAACAGCCACAATTTTTCAATCTTTTCATACTATGATTTTAACCCAGTTTAAAAGCCATATACATGTCCTCAAAACTGACAATGCCAAAGATTATTTCAACTCCATTCTCAGTCCTTACTTGTCAAACCATGGAATTGTACACATCAGTTCTTGTGTGGACACCCCACAACAAAACAGAGTGGCTAAGAGGAAAAATTGACACTTACTAAAAGTAGCCCGTGCCAATATGTTCACAAATAACGTCCCAAAACATTTTTGGGGGGAGGCTGTACTCACAGCCACCTATCTCATCAACAGGATGCCAAGCCGGGTCTTGAAATTCCAAACACCTCGTCAAGTCCTCACCACAATACACCCTCACATTCTTACTTTTACTTCTGACCTTCCACTTAGAGTCTTTAGCTGCACTTCCTTTGTCCATATTTATCACAATCATCGTACCAAACTCGATCCAAAATCACTCAAGTGTATATTCCTTGGTTACTCCTCCCATCAAAAAGGTTATAAATGTTACTCTTCTTACCAAGAAAGTCTACAATTCCATGGATGTCACATTCTTCGAGAGTCAATCATACTTTCCCAAATCCGACATTCAGGGGGAGAGTTCCAAGGAATATCAGATTTGGGATCTTCTTCATGACAATCAATCTGTGTTTGAAAATCCCAGTTTAGCCGTCACTGTTCATGCTCTAGCCAAACAGCCTTTAAATCCCAGTTCAGCCACTGTTTCTGCTCCTGTTCATAGTCCTACCACTGTTCAATCCGTTCCTAGGCAGCCTATCACAGAAACATCCCAAAATCCGTTGCAACTTGATCCTAATAATACTGAACTTCGTGTCTACAGAAGGAGAAGAAGAACAGAGCAAACTGAAGAACCTCTGCAAACTCAGTGCTTTCAATCACAAGAACCAAATCCTACTGTATCTGACACTCACAATGGTATGGATTCCTCTCCTCCTTATACTCATGCTCCTATGATTAATGATTCAAATCTGCCCATTGCTCACAGGAGAGGGGTCCGTGGATGCACTGAACATCCAATTCAGAGATATGTTGCATATGGAAAATTGTCTCCATCCTACAAGGCATTTGTCATGAATCTGGATAGTGTCAAAATGCCTGAATCTATTCAGGAGGCTCTTATGAGGCCGGAATGGAAGAAAGCAGTAGAAGAGGAGGTTCGGGCCTTAGAGAACAATAATACCTGGGTCCTGACACCATTACCACCAGGTAAAAATCCGGTTGGGTGCAAATGGATTTTCACTATCAAGTACAAGGCTGATGGAAGTGTAGACAGGTTCAAGGCAAGACTTGTGGCAAAGGGGTTCACCCAATCCTACGGAATTGATTATCAAGAGACTTTCACACCGGTGGTCAAACTAAACACAATTCGAGTGTTACTCTCCTTGGCAGTAAATCAAGATTGGCCACTATATCAACTTGATGTCAAGAACGCATTCTTGAATGGAGACCTTGAAGAGGAAGTCTACATGACCATACCTCCTGGACTAGAAAACAGGTCAAATCAAAAATTAGTGTGCAAATTGAAGAAGTCATTGTATGTCTTGAAGCAGTCTCCACGTGCATGGTTTGACAGGTTTGCTAGAACCTTGACAGACAATGGGTACGTGCAGTGTTAGGCAGATCACACGATGTTTGTTTTAAGGGTCAGACTGCCCTTGTAACTGGCGGAACAAAAGGCATTGGGTTAGTCCTTTTAATCTCATCTTTCTAATCCTTTTTTTTATTAACATTTTTCACATTTTTTTGTGTCTATTAATTCCCATAATTAGCCTAAAATTAATATTTTTGTAATCTCAATTTGATAATAATCATATTATAGACATGCCATAGTGGAAGAGCTTGCGGGTCTTGCAGCAGCTGTTCACACATGTTCTCG